TTCTTCTTAGTAACTTTCAATTTCTATTACAATTGAAAATTAAAAAATGATAATACTTTAACCTTCTGTTGTATGCCTTTTTATACTAGTTGAGAAAGTGGACTTTTGCTATGCGAAGTATTTGATCGCATAGCGAAGTTCCTTTGTTGTTAAGCATTTTCAAACTTCCCTTGGGAAACCTCCACACTTCATTATGCAAAGTATTGGTCACATAACAAAGTTCTCTTTGCTACTGCTTCGCTTCAAGAGATCTGGCAAGAATTGATTTTGTTTCATTTCTATTTGTCTCGCTTTGGTTTCTCTATGCGCCCTTCGCTATGTGAACTTCTTCTACTTTGACTCGCTTCAAGCGAACTGGATAAGATTTCTTCTGCCTCTTTCTATTTTGAGTTAGCTTTATCTTGCATAGTGACCTTCGCTATGCGACGCCCTACTTCGCTATGCGAAATGCTTCACTTCTCCTTGCTTCTTCCACTTCAAGTGATCTTTGGCCATTTTGATTCTGTTTTTATTTGTTGTTGCTCGCTTTGTCTCGCATAGCGAACTTCACTGTGAAATATGCAGGGCATGGATTTTCTTTTGTTTCTACTTGTTGAATTCTTTTGCCAATTCCTGTAATCCTACAAACTTTTAAGCATAGTGTCTTTTGGACCATTTGTTGGTTAATTTATGCTAAAAAATGCAAGAAAGTAAGGGATTCGTTAAAGTTTTTCAACAAGGATACATAACTTATGCTTGGAGGAGACAAAGTCAAAAAGCTTAAATTTTGTGAACCCTGTGTACTTGGAAAATATTGCAGAGTGAAGTTCAACAAAGGCAAACAAAGAACTCATGGATCCCTTAATTACATCCATCCTGATCTTGGGGGGTTTACAAGGTATCCATCACATTCAGGAACAAGGTATTTTCTATCCATAGTTAATGATTATTCCAGGAAGTTATGGGTATTCATCCAGAAGACTAAGGATGAAAGTTTTGAGAATTTCAAAGGTTGGAAGACTCTGGTAAAAAATTAGACTAGCAGAAAGGTCAAGAGGTTGAGAACCGACAATGGCCTTGAATTTAAATTGGGCGTTCGACAGTTTTTGTGGTGTCTCAGGTATTGCAAGGCACAAAACTACTGCAGGTATTCAACAACAAAATGGTTTGGCGGAAAGGTTTAATCGAACTACTTTGGAAAGAGTTAGATTCATGTTGACTAGTGTTGGATTAAAGAAGATGTTTTGGGCTGAGGCTGTTTCGACAACAACATATCTGATAAACAGATGTCCTTCGATTGTGTTAGATATGAAGACAGCTGAAGAAGTTTGGTCGGGACATCCACCTAGTCTCGACAGACTGATAGTATTTGACTGTGTGGCCTATGCTCACATTAGGCAAGACAATATCGAACCTAGAGCTCTGAAATACATGTTCATGGGATACCCTGAACGAGTCAAAGCTTATAGGCTATGGTGCCTAGAGCCAGGTCACATGAGGTGTATCACCAGTCAAGATGTAGTTTTCAATGAAGCTGAGATGGCTTTGAAGAAAACTGATGATGCTGACGAAGAGCTAGAACAATGAGAGATTCCTGTTAAGGTGGAACATGTTGATGTTGAATTACGTACCTCAGATGAAGTCGAAGAAGAAGCAGAAGCTATTGACGAAGATGAGGAGACTGATGATGACTACCTGCTAACAAGAGACAGGTCGAGGAGATTCATCAAGCCACCTTAGAGACTTGGGTATGCAGGTCTTATAGCTTATGCCTTAATCTCTGCAAGTGAGGTTCTCGACGAAGAACCTAGAGACTATAAGGAAGTTATGAGGAGTCAAAAAGAAGACTGGATGGCTGAAGGCCATGGATGATGATATGAAATCTCTTCATGATAAAAACACCTGGGAACTGATCAAAAAACCTGCTAGATCCAGGTTAATCAACTGTAAATGGATTTTCAAAGTTAAGGAAGGAATCAAAGGAGTGGCATCGAAAAGATACAAGACAAGATTGGTAGCTAGGGGTTTCAATCAGAAAGAAGGTGTCTACTTTAATTATGTGTTCTCTCCAGTTGTGAAGCACATATCCATTTGAATGTTGTTTGCCACGGTGGCACAGTTCGACCTTGAACTGGAATAGATGGATGTGAAGACTGCATTCTTGTATGATGATCTAGATGAAATAATCATGATGAGGCAACCTGAAGGGTATGTCCAAAAGGGGAAGGAAGATTATGTGTGCAAGATGAAGATATCCTTATATGGACTGAAACAATCTTCTCGATAGTGGAATAGGAGATCCAACAAGTTCATGGCACACATAAGTTTCACTAAAAGTCAGTTCGACCACTGTGTTTACTTTAGATTTCGACCTGGTAATTCATTTGTTATTTTGTTGCTTTATATGGATGATATTCTAATAGAAATCAACAATGTCGAAGATGTAATGAGGGTGAAGGCTGAACTCAATAAGGAGTTCGACATGAAGGATCTGGGAGCTGCGTCCAGGATTCTTGGAATTGACATCCAAAGAGATAGAAAGCAGTTGAAATTATGCTTATCTCAAGAGGCATACCTACAGAAGATTCTCAAAAGTTTTGGTATGTCGAATTCAAAGTCTGTTGTGACTCCTACAAACCCTCAATTCAAGCTAAGTATATATCAGTGTCCCAGTACTGATGTAAAAAGATCTTATATGAATAGAATTCCATACGCTAATATAGTGGGTTCTTTAATGTATGTTATGGTATGTACTAGACCCGACATAGCATATGCATTAAGTCTTGTAAGCAAATACATGGTGAATCCTAGAAAGATTCGCTAGCAAGCATTGAAGTGGATTCTAAGGTACATAAATGGGTCTCTGAACAGAGTCCTAATTTATGGCGAAACCTTAGGTGAAGATAGTAAAGCAGAAATTGAAGGATATGTCGACTCAAATTATGCAGGTTGTATGGATTCTAGAAAATCTATTTCTGGATATGTGTTCACTATGTTTGGCACAACAGTCAGTTGGAAAGAAACACTTTAGAAGGTTGTTGTCTTATCAACCACTGAAGCGGAAATTTATTGCCCTAACTGAAGTTGTGAAGGAAGCATTGTGGCTTGAAGGTTTTGCAAAGGAGTTTAAACTTCAAGGTCAAGTTGTCACTGTTAAATGTGATAGTCAAAGTGCAATACACTTATCGAAGAATTCAGCCAATCATGAGCGAACCAAACACATTGATGTGAGGCTGCATTTTGTCAGAGGGATAATGGAGCGTGGAGAAGTCCAAGTGCTGAAGGTTTCGAAAGATCATAATGTTATTGATATGATCACTAAGACGTTGCCCAGTTGTAAGTTTTTCCACTGTATGCAGTTGATAAAGCTGCATGAAGAAAGCTAGTTTATTTCTTAATGGTAGAGTTAAATCCAAGGTGGAGATTTGTGAGCTATTGGATCGAACTCTAGTTAGCATTCCATCGAAGTTTGCTTACATGCTATTGTCGAAGACCTACACGCTGTAGTCGAATTGTGTTCTAGTATATAGTTGTCGAATTGGGCCTTGTGTTAAGGATTCAATTGTTTATATTAGCTTTTACCCTATGTTAGTTTGTAATGGGTAATTGTTAAAAAGCCCATTAGTTTAGTATGTTAGGTTTTATTATAAATAACATACTAGTCTCTCATCTTATGTGTGGTGTGACAAAACCTAATTAGGGTGAGAGGGTTATTTATTATTCTTGAGTACTTGTAATTTGTTTTATAGAGAAAATAAAGAATAACAGTTATAACGAAACCTTGTTGTTCTCCTTATTTTTTCTTAACCCTAACCCTTGTGTGTTTCTTGATCATAAAAAACTGAGTATATTTTATTTTAAGGCATCCTAATTCACAAGAATAACTACAAAACAAACAACCAAATATATATGAAAACAAAGAAAAAAACAATCAGTATATGAAGTACTCCAAAACAATGGAAACAACAAAAGCACAACCAAACATAGCAAAAAAAACAAAGAAAAAATAGGAATTAGACAGAGACTAATGACACCAAGAATCGAGCAAGAAATCTTCTGAAAAATTGGCTGAGAAAAAGTAAGAAAGGCTATCGACACCTAAAAAGAATGCAGCTAGCCACCATGGCACCCCGATTTATCTAAGCGCTAATGTGGATCATACTCCTAGTGCAACAACGAAAAATGAATGTCCAAAGTGAACGATCAAACTCACTTCCAAGACATGCAACTAATCAAATGCAACTAATCAAGCCCATCCAATGATTAACTGACAATCTTTCTTGACAGAAAATTAGTTTATTTAATATTGTCCAAATACAGCTAATGCCAAATTAAGACCAACCGAAAGACCACCTTCTTACATGTGCCGAACCATAGAACATATAAAACACCTCAATAAGTGACACTGTGACAAGCTCTTTTTACTCACCAAACTAAACACCTTATACCGAATTGTGGACAATGTTTCACTATGTGATCCGCCGATTCCACATTTCTTAAACACATTGCACAATCCACCCTAATATCACTAGATAGAATATGTCGTCTGAAAAGATTTTGCCTAATTAACAACCTATTTTAAAATAACGGTCAAGAAAACACCTCCCCACTAAAAGAAGCCCACGCCCTTCTTAACCCTAGCCAACCCTAAATCACTCGCTCCAATATACTCTCACCCTCACCAAACATATTATGTACTGAATACTGAAATTAAAAAGTACTCATCAGTTGAGTGACATTGAGGATACATGAAAACATACATCATTTCCCCATTTTGCTTTCATATTAGTCTTTTAAAACTAAGTTTTTGCTAAAACAAAGGATATATAATAACTTTAAGTTTATCATATAATTGTCAAATAGATATAGATACAGATTTCTGTAATCACATATATAGAAGGTCTCATATATTTGAACCACATATCAAAAGATAATGAAGACAAAAAAAAGGTAATATATAAAAGAAACATATAATTAACCAATGCTTCCATTTTCCATTGTTGTGCAACTTGTTCATTTCTTCATACTTGTGTTTGCTTTGAAACCTGGATCAAAAACACCAAAACATTTATTTCTAAAACTCTAATTAGCTGTTTACACAAATAATTTGTTCTTTCCATCCCATTTTATTTGATTTTTATACACAATATATTTTTGTATAATTATTGTTGTTATTTTACAAAAGAAAGTAGAAAATTTAACACAAATACAACTACAAAACGACCAACTAGGAATGATAAAGAACCAAATTATTATTAGAGAAAAAGGATAAATTAAAAAATCACATAATATTTTTTTCAAAAATCTAAAATGTTAAGATATTTTTAAATTATAGAAATAAAGAAAAACTTGACTGCCTCATATTTTAAATAACATTTTAAAAATTTATTAAGATGACATATTTTTCCGTGTCATTATAAATGCGATTTAATAATAATAATAATAATAATAATAATAATAATAATAATAATAATAATAATAATAATAATAATAATAATAATAATAATAATAATAATAATAATAATAATAATAATAAATTGTTTCTATGAATATGAAAAATATATTGATGTATAAATCATTAAGCTGTCTAAAATAGAAAATTGATTAAGTGGACATATTGTATCAAAAATTTAATTAAGTATACCATTCAAAAAAATATGAGTTTATTATTCTAAAATGACAAATAAGTTAAAATAAAATAAAAACATTTCAAACATAAAATATAATATGTATAAAAAGTAGTAATTACCAGAAAGTAGCTTTCACCATGCTGCAAGCTCTGCATCAAGATACCAAACTCATTGGTTGGAACTGAGACTCCAGAGGAATGAATTAACATAACATCTTCACCAAACACTGTTTTCATGTCAATTGCACCTCTTGCTACTTCTGTTGCAACTCCATTGATATACACTGTGATCAAACCTGAAACATTACTCCCCCCAAATCCTATACACCCCCAAAATTAATAAAAATAAATAAAAATTAAATGATCAGTCAATTATTATATATCCAATACAAATACAAATCAAAAAAAAAAATTACAATAAAGTTCGGTCAAATTTGTCTTTATCTTTGACTACAAAGCAAAGCGCGTCTGTAATCTCTTTTCACATTATTTTCGGTAAAAGACTCGACTTTAAAGTATTTAATTTATATTTAAATTGTATTCATTATCATTTTTAGAAATTATAATTATGATAAATTTGTTAAACTTTAACCTCCTTTGCTTGAAAGGAAGAGGTTTCTTTTGTCATACTTTGCCTTGGGAAGCCACAAATTGAAAGGCACAGAATCTCATACTAAAAAAAGAGTCATAAAAGAAGGAAAAAAAAGTAGAAAAAATTTATTTTTACATTAATTTGGCAAAAAATATCCAATATAAAGTTTGAATTTATTATGACATACTGTAAATAATCTAAATCCATATATTTTTTTCAATATCTTAATGGCCTAGAAAAATGTATAACAAAATAAGCAAAATGAAAAGAGAAAAATAAACTAGGGTTTAGAAATTTATGTAATTAAGGACTTGATTTTTGAAGAAAAACCAGAAAAGAATATGATGAGGAATAAAAAAGGAAGAACAGAAACTGAAGCAAGAAAAGTGAAGTAATGTTTTTCTGGAAAAGAAAAAGTACAACTTTCATGCTTTTTTATTTAATCCCAGGAACTGTCAAATCATCAAAAGTGTTTGCACTTTTATTAATTCTTCCATCACTTTCAAAACCAAATCAACCAAAAAATTAATAAATTTTTTTCCAAAATAAAAATAGGTCAATCTGAATCTACAAGAATTTAGAGTTTAATTAGTATAATAATCAGCCTACATTCTAAACTTAAAAATATAGTTCAAATAGACTAATATATAATTTGTCATAAGTATTAAATTAATTTATATTAAGAAGAATAAATAGATTCTAGTACTCATTTTTTTCTGAAAAAGGTTTTTTTTTTCATGAAGAAAATCTGAAAAAAAAACATTTATTTAAAGTGTAAGGGGTTTTGTTAATTAAGATGATTAAAAAATGGAAGAAATTGGGTTAGAAATAATATAAGAAAAAATTTATATACAGATTTGGGTACTCCTTTCACTTAATTGAATTTGTAAAAAAAAAAAAAAATCTTTTGTTCAAGATAAATGTACATAAAAAAGTATGAGATTTAATTATAATGTAATTAATAAATTAATTACATACCTGAATGATGATAGTTCAAATTTAAAGCATGATCATGAGAAGGGTTCAAAACTGATGAAGCAGCAGAAGTATGATGCTCAATCTCAGGAAAATTAATTTGAGAAGAACCTAAAAATAAACCACGAAACCCTTCTTCTCCGCCACCGACACCGACACCAGCACTAGACGAAGAAGACGAACTCGAAAAATTATGATTATAAGAAGAATCAGAAGGAGAGTTCATCATAGTGAGACCAGAGGAACCACCAAAACCTTCAGCAGCACCAACAGAGATAGAGTTACTGTTGGTGTTGCTGCACTGGTATTGGTGATAAAGATTTGCACCGGCTCCTGCGGCTAGTTGTGCTGCAGCCTGCATCTGTCTCTGACGACGACGAGAACGAGAGCGACGATTTTGAAACCAATAAAAAACATTAGCATCACCAACAGGTCCAAATTTTTCAAGAAGTTTTCTTATTCTAACAGTTTCATCTTTTGGTGGATTCACCATTCCACTATTAAAAATGGATTCAAGTATGAGGATTTGTTCAGGCTTTGGTGTCCATCTTGATCTCACAGTTTCACTCTTTTCAGTGCTGTTTGGATTATTGGCGTTGGAACTTTGAGTCTGAACATGTTGTTTTTGTTCTTGATCTTCCATTCCAATGTGGAAGAAAGAAAATAAGAAAATAAAATGTTTTTTTTTCTATGAAAATATGATGAAACCTAGGTAGGTTAAATAATATATATATATGGTTGATGATGTGAGAGATGTGAATAAAGTACATGGAATACAGTAACACTGCTTTTGTTTGTTTTTATATAAATGTTGAATAGTTGAATAGTTGAATTACTTAAATACCCTTTTTGTTTTTATTCATTATTTCTCATGTCATGCATTGCAATAAGTCAAAAAGACTGATGGATTCTAGATTACTCTTATTACATACATATGTAGTTCTCAATTTCCAATTTACTTAGTCTGGAAAATAAATTAATGTATGCTTGAACTTTTTCATGTATTTTTTCATTCTTGATTATGACACTTTCTTTTTACTAATTTTGTTATGATCTATAAATCAAAGCTCCTTTTAAAGGTTGATAATAGAATGCAAAATATGAGAGACAGTCTATTTTTAGATCATAACACTACTAAAAGTTTTCTTTCAAAATGATATAAAAAAAGGATAAGGATAAGGTTTCATAAAACATTTAATCATTAACACTAGTTTTCAGAGTCAATTTTTTTTTTAATTTTTATATTATTAGATAATTTAAACATGTACTCATATTTTTGCCTATTTTATTTATAAGTAAAAAAAATTATATTAACGCGAGCATAAAAATACTCAACCCTAATACAACCAAAAGAAAAGGAAAAATAAAATAAAATCAATCATTTATAAAAAAGTAACCAAGCTGATCCTTAGCATAAAAAGACGAGATGATTAATCAACTAATTTGCTTTCGAGTATACAAGTTGGCCTTTAAACTTAGCACCAAACTAATCCCAAGCTAAAGTCTTGTTAAACACAAAATATCAAAAGATCTTTTCATTATTCCTTTAAACAAAGTATCATTCCTAACCAACCAAATCGCTCTCATAACTGCTAGCTACAAAAGGAGCTTGTATCTTCTCTTTGTCTTGCCACATAATGCTAAGTCGAATGATAACAAATGATTTGTGATGGAGTCAAAAGGGAAAATCCTGCAAACTCCTAACCAATCTAAACTAATGTTTCAGACAACAACATCAACATTGCAGGAAAAGAAAAGATGAGGGTGGGGTTCTTCTGGCCCAAGACAAAGTGGACACACTAGGCTATGGGCCCCCAAAATAACTCCCTGCCTGAAGCCTACACAACAACACCCTCCAAACAAAAACTTGAATATTGCTCGAGACATTTGATTTTCCGACATACTTCAATGATATCTTCAAATTATTTTTCAGGTTGAAAGTCAAGATTTACAAGCAAATACAACCTGCAATAAGCTGATTTTATAGAAAAGCCAAAAGAATTAGGCCGCCAAACAAAAACATCTGATAAACGAGGATCAGGAGAGATGAAATTCAGAATGTTGAGGAGAGTGAACCAATCATTTTGTATCTGCTTTAAAAGTTCCTCACTGTTAAATCCATCATTCCACCACCAACACCCCTCAATCCAAGAGCTCGAGTCACTAATACTCTGCCTAGGTTCCTGAGCAAAAGAAAAGATAATAGAAAATTGTTTGCATAAAGGGTCTACTCCCAACCAACTGGCCCTCAAAAAGTCAATTTCAGTCCCTTTCCCGGCCTTACATGAGATGTCTTTAGCAAACTAATTAGCCTATGAACCCCACGAACCCAGAGATATCCTTAGGTCTTTCCACCACAACGTAGATTTCAAGTTGCTCCAGGACAGAGAAAGGTCCAAAATTACAGCCTTAATATCCCCATACTTGAATGAGAGAACCTACATCCAAAATACATCACACTTTATCAAGGTCTTCCAACCTCATTTACTCTAAAGAGCTTGATTGAATGATTCACGGTGTTTGATCCCCAACCCACCATCACTTTTAGAACACTGTCGACTAAGCCATCCAATTTATTCTCATGTGATTTTCTTCGCCATTCCACGAAAAAGCATGTTCGATCTTGATGATTACGAGAATGACTTTCTTTGGTGCTTTGTAGAAAGAGAAGAGGTATATGGGAATGAAATTGATTACATAATTTAAAAGAGTCACACGCCCACCTAATGAAACCTCTTTCCCTTTCCAAGAGGATAATCTGCTTCTAATCTCTTAGAAAACTGGAATCCACATAGATCTTTTATATGGGTTAGCCCTAATAGGTATGCCAAGAAAAGTAAACGGGATATGACCTATTGCACACGATAAGAACTCAGAAGCTTCCTTCAAGAACTTTGTGCCAATATTAGCACCAATTATTCTACTCTTGTGAAAGTTTACAAAAAGACATGAAGAAAGCTTGAAACCACGCAACATATCTTTGATAGAACTTAAAGACTCCAAGTTTGGCTGCCTCACTAAAGGGGTGGAATGAGTGATTTACACGAGCATTCTTTCATTAAATCGACCATTCCCACAGTTTCCAAAATAAATAAGAAAGGCGAAAAAGGGTCCCTTTAGCGAAGCCCTCTTTTGAGTTGGAAATAAGTGGTCGGGCTCCCATTAACAAAAATAGATATGATGCTAGAACACATGCGCACCTTGATCCAGTTGATCCATTTAATGTCGGAGTTTATTCTCTTGAGGACATAGAAAAAATACTCCCAAGAGACTGAATCAAATTCCTTTTCAAAATCTACTTTGAAGAGAAGCAAGCTTTTCCTATTCCTACGAGCAAAGTCGACCAATTCATTGAGGACTAGAACCCCATCAAACAACCCCCTCTTTGGTAATAATGATGATTGAGACACATAAACAAGCTTTCATATGACTTCCTTTAGTATCTCATTTAAACGTTTCGAGATGATTTTGTATATACTTCCTTCTAACAAATTGGGTGACATCCATTCAATGCTTGAGGATTTTGAGACTTGGTAAAAAGAGAGACGAATGCAGCTGAGACTTCCTTTGGAATATGTCCCTGCACAAAAAATCAATGATACAATTGAATAGGTCTTGTTTAATAACATCCCAAGAGGCCTTGAAGAAACTCATAAAAAAAACCATTGGGGCATAGGCTCTTGCCCCGAACCGAATTTATATGACATCTTTGATGTCTTTAAAATTAAAGGGGGCTTCAAGAGAATTAATACCTTCATGGGAAAACATATTAAAATGGACTCCTTCAAGAATTGGCCTTCTAAGAAAAGGTTCCTAGAATATATCATGGAAGTGCTTAAACGCTGATGCCTTTATACCTTCAACATCTTCTACCATCTCCTCAATTGACTTTAAGCCCATTATATTATTCTTTCGAAGCCTTGCTTTCATTAAAGAATGTAAGAATTTTGAGTCTTGGTCACCGTCCTTCAACCATCTACATCTGGATATTTTTCTAATCATGCTTTCACTAAATTGTAATTTTTCCCACACCATAGTTTATGCGTCCAATCTAGACTCGAAGTTACCCGAATAAAGAGCTTCATCATCATTTACCACCATACTATCTAAATGGTTGAGGTTTTTTAAAGCATTACAAACTTGGAAATCAACTTTATCAAATACTTCATTATTCAAAACTTTTAATCTAGACTATAGAATTTTAAGCTTTTCTGTGAATATAAACATGTTCTTCCCATGGATACAAATTGACAATGAATAATATTTAACAGTTGGAAGGAAATCAAGATATTTTAACCAAGATGAAAAAAGCTTCAGCGAGTTGAGCCCCCAACCCAACTTGTTAGCTTTAAGAGAAATGAGACAATGATCAGAGAAACTTCTTTCACCGATAAATTGACCTTGAAATCCCCAAAAACTACATGGACTTATGAAATCAGACATCTCTCCAACCTACTCATCAAAACACCCACCAAATTGAACCACGAGAACTTGCTTCCCATAGCAAGAAGATCCAACATACCCATTTCCTCAAAAAAATCTATGAATTTAGACGTTTCAGTATGATTGATTTGCAATCTAATTCCTCTTCTTTCACTTGACTTTTTGATAATTTAAAAATTCCCTCCAACACACCATTCACCTTTAGGGAGCGATGACTTGAGATTGAGAAGTTATTCCCAACACTTTCTCTTGTTCTGAAACGTGTATGATGAAAAAATGTTCATAAAATAGATGAGCACACCCTTTCAAAGAAATTGAATCCTGATAAATCCTTCTCCCTCGAAACTTGACAAATTTACACAACTATTGGAATCCATGCATAATGAGCATACCCTCAGATCTACCTCTAGCATTTTTATGTTCCACGTGATCTCATTCATGCTCTAGAACAATTTTACTATGAATTCCTCCATAGATTACATTTTTGTTTCTTGGAGAAAAAAAACATTCACCTTCGTCAAGTTCAATAAGTTTCAATTTTCCATCCTTTTTGCTATATTACCTCATCTATTAATATTGAAAGATATCACATTCATTTAAAACATGATTTTCAAACATCACTCTTTAAATTACCATCTCTATCCTTTGATTCCAAATGATTGATCTCATCTATGTATGTTGCATCCTTATCATCACCTATAATCCCTAGCTATGACGCCTTTTTCAAAATTTTAGAAGCCATTCTTTCTTTCTTTTTGTACAAAAATCTTTAATTACATTAAAGAACATTACGATCAGAAAAAGACTCACAATATAAAGAGGCTCCCTCTAAGAAACTATCCTTCGACATTGATTTTGAATAACTTGAAGATTTGATTGCACTAGTAGAGATTAAGGAAGAGAAATAGGTTGTTTTGACAAAGATTGTTTCCCTGGGTTTCAAAAGTATTTAAACTGGATTACTTGGACTCTTCACCATACCACCAACCTCATCCAAGAGCTTACATTTTTGTTTTAGTTGGGACACTAAGATTGACGATACCATCGACCAGCTATATACTACATGAATACCTAAACCACCAACCTAGCCCATTTGAGTTAGGATGATATGAGACTTAGACCCTTGAGGAGAAGACCCTGAAGAGTTGACTTTAAATTGCGACACATGAGCCCAGAACCTGTCTCGAGGTGATTTGATGT